ATATATATATATTGATATTTATAAAAATACTTATTTTTAATTTATATATGTACACATACATATGCTCACATTTAGATGGTAATAAAATACCACAGCAATAAATGAAGCAATATTAATGAAATAGATACATCTGGACAAGGGAGGATGTCTTTTCAGCCTTTCACAACCAGGGTGATGTGAAAGAGGTAAGTCTTAATAGGCCAAGCTACCATTGTTTGCAATTAATTAACTTCTATCATATGCATCTAGAATGATGCCAATCCTGTAATGTTCTTGAGAGAATTATAAAATAGTCACTTAAATTGTCTTATTGTCCTGTGGTTTAAATGAGAAAGCTGGTTGAGACAGGCAGTTAATGTATAATCTAGATCAGCAATTTTCAACTGGTGTGCCACTGCACACTGGTGTACCACAAAACTTTTTAAAATATGCAATACCTGACCTCTTTTTCCTTTAGATTGTTAAATTTTAAAAGTTACAGTGCTCAACAAAACAAGAGCTGTCAGGTGTTAATGCCCTATCTTGAACCATAAATATATTGGTCATATAATAGAGATGCATCTTATTGGTCATGATATGTAATAAGATTGCATCTGGTTCTTGGTACCAGAAATTCTTAAATACATTTATAGACATTTGATTTTTTAAAGTTACTTTGGATCAAAAAGGATATGTAAGTACTATTATTTTTTTGTAAATCAATCAACATTATATCTATTTTTTGTCACATTGGCAAATATATATTTTTTGGTGTGCCGCAGAATTTTAGTAATTACTTATGTGTGCCATGAGGTGAAAAGGGTTGAAAATCATTGGTCTAGATCAGCGGTGGGCAAACTACGGCCCGTGGGCCGGATCCGGCCCGTTTGAAATGAATAAAACTAAAAAAAAAAAAAAAAGACCGTACCCTTTTATGTAATGATGTTTACTTTGAATTTATATTAGTTCACACAAACACTCCATCCATGCTTTTGTTCCGGCCCTCCGGTCCAGTTTAAGAACCCTTTGTGGCCCTCGAGTCAAAAAGTTTGCCCACCCCTGGTCTAGATAGTTCTTTTTGCTTTAAAGTGACAGTAAATAAAACTAAAAGAAGCAAGAAAGTAAGCCATATACTAGATATTTAAACAAGGACATTTTATGTGGAAGAAACTGCACGTGCAAAGGCACTGGGGTATTTAATATATGTAATGAGCAAGTGGAGAGAATAGTCAGAGGTGTGAGAGCCTGGGTGCTGCTTGAGCATTTTGCGTTCTTTGTTTTTATTCTGAGTGACTTGAGAAGCCACTGGAGGACTTTGAGAGGAGGAACTGTTGTGACTTGGGTTTTAAAAGCTTTCTTCTGGCTGTTAAGTAGAGAATAGATTGCAGGGGGTGACAGAGGTGAGTAGAAAGACATATTAGGAAACCAGTCCAGTCACCCAGCAGAGAAATGATAGCAGGCTTCACCAAGGTGGTAGCGGAGGAAGTACTGAGAAATGGTCAAATGTTAGCTATAATTGAAAGTGTAGCAGGCAGGATTTTCTGATATATCAGCTGTGTCAAACATGAAAACAAAAAGAGAGGAATCTAAAATGATATCAAAGGCAGGATTCCTTTCACTCTTTAAAGGAAACATCAAATTATGGCTAATACTAATCTTCCAGGTCAGTTATATTATCCCTGGTTAAAATATTGTGTAGAATAGCCCTAGGAGCTACATGATTGTGGTTGCACATGTATATTTTTTTCCTACATTTTAAACAATGAATTTGCACAAAACTTGTGGAATAGCAAGTTTCTCTCGTTGGAGAGAAGATTATTAAATATGAACTCATTAAGAGGCAATGTTCAAGTCAACAGATGTTTTGGGGTGCCTCCTGGAGCCATACACTGTGCCAGGTACAGGGATTCAAACAGAGAGGTCAGTCCCTGCCTAAGAAGCTCACAGTGTATTTCTTTCCTCTTTTTAAAAAAATATTTTTATTGATTTTAGAGAGGAAGGAAGAGGGAGAGAGAGATAGAAACATCAATGATGAAAGAGAATCATTCATCAGCTGCCTCCTGCACACCCCACATTGGGGATCAAGCCTGCAACCTGAGCATGTGCCCTAACCGGAAATCAAACCGTGACCTTCTAGTTCATAGGTTGACGCTCAACCACTGAGCTATGCCAGCCAGGTTCACAGTGTATTTCAACAGTTCTCAATTGTAATGTGGTAGAACTTACGAGTTTTTCACAAATAAGTAAAGTAAGATATTTGTATTTTAAACAAATTCAATCAGATATGTCTCTCTCATTTCCTTGCATACTGCTGGGCTTTTGTGAATAATAATTTTAAAAAAATGATGTTACTTACACAGGCCTGGGATTAGCATTCATGTGTGGCACTCCTGAATGGCATGCTTCATGTCGTGAATAACCCGAGATACGCATTTTAGAAATTAGCTCTACTGGATGCTCTTTGGCTGCCATGGCATCTAGCAAAGTGTTGGTCACTCTGTTGAGGCAAATAATTTGACAAGGAATAAAGCTTGACCATGACTGTCAGCTAATCTTTGCTAACATGTACACAGACTGGAGAAAAGTAAAGTTTAAGAAGAAAGCCCTTTGAGGCCTGTTAACATTTTATTAGAGATTCTACAAACACAGTGAAGCCTATGAGAGAGTAAACTATATTAATGATCTTTTGGTACTTTATTACATTAAAGTCCATGGGTCTATCTTGCTCTTTGAATGGATCTTTTACCTATGGGTGATCTTATAGCATTCTATATTGTTCATAAGAAAAATATTAATTCATGGCTATGCAGGTATTCCAAACGTTGACATATTTCATCCATATTATTTTTAAGTATACTTATTAATATCATCAATAATCTCATCAGAAAACCCTAGGGAACTATTAGAAAGCTAATAAGCTTGTAAGTGACAGACACAAACTTTCCAAAACTCTAAATGTTTAAAAATTCAGTCAGTATTCCTGGCAACAAATACTGTCATTTTTTTCATCAAAATTATAGCCTTACTTCATTAATTTTTCAGGAAAAATCAATACCTATCTGAAAAATCATAGTCTATGTCAGTCTTTGTTCTAAGTAAAAATGGAATTCCCTGAAAAAGGTGCTCATTTCATTTGTAACTCAGACAATAACAAAAGTGCCTTTTGTTCTGAGAAAACCATCATGTTTCAGTAGTACGTTGTGTGTA